AAAAAAAAAAAAAAAAAAAAAAAAAAAAAAAAAAAAACACATCATAGTAAAACCAATACCTTCTCAGCTTCGCATCGAAGCTAAAAATCACTCTGTATACTTGTTTGAATTTACTTATATTATTTTATTACTTTTTTATTTCAATTAAAATTTTTCTCGGGCGGTTAATTTTGTATTATATTCTCTACTCTAATTGTAGTTTTAACTCATAATATTTGTAAAATTAATTAAATATAGAAATTTTAGATCTAATTTAATAATCTTCTTAAAGATAGCAATTAAACATACATTGGATTATTAATCATGGCTACTATTTTTGTTAAAATTTCATTTTCTTCTAAATTGTTATAATTTAGCAATTCTGCAGCTCCCGAGGTCATAACTCCTTTAATATTGGTCATTTGGTCAGCAAATATAGGCATTGCTATAATTGGCACTCCTTCGTAAACAGCTTCAGTAGTACTCAACATACCACCATGTGAAATAAACAGTTTAACGTTTGGATGAGCTGTAAATATAATAAAACATCAATTCTTTAATATATACATTTTTTATTTTAAAACTAACTCTCAATATTTCTAATTATAAAAATAATAAAGTGTTTCCATTATTAAAAATTGTTAATTTCAGAATATTTTCAACAATAAAAACGGTAGCACAGTGTGGGCGTGTCACAGTGTAGACGTCGCATAAATTAGATGATATCTGACAGTGATTATAATCACAATCATAAGAAACATTCCGATGCATTTCTGTAGATAGTGTTTAATTTTAAAAAGTTGGTGGATTATACAAAAAGCAAAATGAATTTTTATTTCCTTTTTTATTCCTGATTAGTAGTTCTTTGATTTAGAAGTATTATATATTAACAAATATTTATTATAGCAATTAGATTAGTAAGAGTTTAATATTTAATAATTTAGTATTATAATTTTTTCGAAGAATTTATAAAAAATTTTGTAGTAATTATTAATTTTACGATAAACGTGTATAAAAATTAAAGGGCTTTATATAAAACTTTTCAGAAAACAATTTTTTGTTAATTGTGAATTAAAGGTTTTACAAGAATTATCCATCAGATTCAAAAATATACTTCTATCATTTCATTTTTCGTACTCATTTCAAATCTCCAATTATATTTTTTCTAACACCGCCAATTTTTGATATTACTACCAATTAGTTAAAATCTATTGGGAATATAGTTCTGAATATTTTAATTATATCTTCTATTTCAACACCAAGAGTTACAAAGAAACGATTAATAAATTTCTATTGAAATAATTTATTACGATATAAATACAAAAAATATAATAAGTGATTTTAACAAAATGTTGGGCTTTTTTCATAAATTTTATATTAGTAGTAATTATATATGTTACTGACCATATATCAATTTAAACAAAACCATTTTTGAAATCTTTATAAAATTTTGTATTTCATGATATCAATTTTAAACTTGCAAGTTTAACTAAAACAGGTTAAAAGTTTAATGTTTTTAAATTACTAATTATATCACTTTCATAAAAATCAACTTTAAATGACCAAAAAAATACGTTAAACATGACATTTTAAATCGAAATTTTGTACGGATTACTTTTAATATGTTAAAAATAAAAATACATTTTTAAATGTAAATACTCGTTTTTATAAATTAGTCATGTTAAAAAAGACACGATGGAAAAAATCTAATTGTAGTTATTCAATCTAAATGAGATAAAAATCTAATGAATTTTGAATTTTTTCTACCTCAAAAAGAATTTAAAAAAAAATGCAAAAAAAACCATTGAACAGACGGATTTGAACGTCGTACCCGAACGTGGAACTCTAATGAGACAACCATACACCACATGTATATTTGGATAAAAAGACAAAGTTAGTTCAAAAATTCTAAATCGCTTCTTTCAACGTAAGAGGTAAAATATTCAAAATCAGTTTTTTCAATTTAAGTTAGATTATTTTATGTAACTTTAATATGGACTTATTACTATGGTAAACCCTTGTAAGGTATTTTAATATAAAAATGTTATAGAAAAATAAAATCAAAAATATGAAATCGAGAATTTTAACACAAAAATAACATATTTTTGAATACAGTAGCCTTTTTCACCATTAAGACAATATAACATTTGATTTTTTTTTTTCATATTAAAGTATATTACATAAGTTTTAATTTAAGATACATATAAAAGTGTCAGTATTTCCGAAAAATTTGTATAAAATTAAATTGTAAAAGATCTATTTCAATTACGCATTTTTAAGTTTTAAACCTCCTTTGTATAAGAGGAAATGGCCCGATTAAAAAAAAAAGAGTTTGTCGAATGAAGTACAGAGTGTTCGACTAACTATGTCTCACGTAATATCTTTAAAAATACAAGTTTTATAAATTTTTAAACATTATGTATCCTTGATGAGGTGTTTCATAAGAAAATTTAAATTTCCACTACCATCCATTATGCTTAAAACTTGTATCAACTTCATATTTTCAAATGGTAACCCAATTTTTTTTACTTCATTAGATTTAGTTTAATAAAAAAAAAAATGTTTTTTAAAAATATATTTTACTTTATTTAATATTAAGCGCTCCACGGCTCTCTAAAATCTAGGATTTATTAAGAAAAAAATACAGACTCTAACGTTTGAAGTCGTAAATCGATAAGCGCTACCAGTTATATAAATAAACATACCAAGGTTACCTTAGTTAATCTAACTACGTGCGTTGACACAGTAAACCGGTAGCTCTTATCGCTACATAAAATAATAATGTGACCGTGTTGGAAAAACTATTGAATTTTTTTATCAAACATCATAAATTTTAAAGTAGCGTATCTTGTTTAAAATTCATAATTTTTTTTTTTATGTCGAACAAAAATATCTAAAAATAATGTGTAGTTGTCATTTGAAAATCTGAAGTTGATACAAGTTCTAAGTATAAGGGATAATGATAGAAATTTAATTATTTCTTGTGAAACAGTTCATCAAAGATCCATAATGATGTAAAAAAAAAAAAATTGGTTACAACACTTGTATTTTTAAATATATTACGTAAAACATAGTTAACCGATCATTCTGTATATATAGTGTTAATCATAAAATATTGTATTGATCCATACATTTTTCAAAAATATTAGACGTATAAAGTTAAATATATAAAATCGAGAATTTTATTACAAAAATAGCATGTTATTGAATACGGTAGCCTTTCACTATGGAGACAAAATAAAGTTCAATTTTTTTTTTTTTTTAATTAAACTATATTAAATGAGCTTTAATTTAAGATATATATATAGAAGTATCAGTATTTCTGGAACATTTTCAAAATATTTTGAAATCCCTCTTATTGATTGGTAAAGAGTCAAATTAAAAAAATATATAAACCAAATAATAGGTAAATAGCTAATATATATATAAAAAAATGTTTGTTTCTATTCATCTATTTTTTAAAAATTTATGGCAGTTTTAAGTAAAAAAAGTTGAAAATATGTCCAAAATTACTGATTTTTAAAATTGTAATTTTTTAGGGTAGGTTCCTCATTTCCAGGAAACGAGGGAAATTTTTTCTATTTTTGAGGGTAATGTCTTCCACTAGATACGATTAAATCGTATCTAAATTTAAAGATATATTAAAGATCACAAATTTTGTGATCTTTTTACATATTGTTCATCAAAATCAGTCCAGTGAGAGCTGAGAATATAAGGTGGTAACAGGCACAAAAAAAACACATCAATTAATACGTTCTCAGCTTCGCATCGTAGCTAAAATAGTAGAAGGTAATTTTATATTTTATTGTAATTTCTTCAACTAACTGAACATTTTTAAAAAAATATTATTGAGTAATCAATTACTATATGATTGACGCTGTTTTTTCATTAAAAAATGTTTTCTCGATATTTGTAAACCATTCAAATTTAAAAATGGTATACAGGAAATATTGATCTAGTAGAAATTGAAAACTATAGTGACAAACAAAATAAAAATAACACCTCTGTATGTAAACTTAATATTAAGCTTCATATCAAGGCTAAAAACAGTACGAAAATTAATTTTCTTGATTTTGGAAAATGTAATGTGTTTAGTTCTATTACTAGAATAAACGTTATTATTCATTCTCACCTAATATTTCTCGTTGAGGCATCCACTTTTTTGTCATAATATTAAGACTTTTCCACGGTAAGTTTTCACCTTCATATTTCCATAATACTCTTTGAGGAAGTTTATTAAATACATTTAAGAACATTTGTCTCTTTTTTTCTGGAAATGTTTCTCCTCGCAGAATACTTCCCATACAAAAATAAATAACTCCATGTTCTGATTCATCAAGGAATTTTTGTATGTCCTAGTCATACATTATTTTATATATTAAATTATTATAGAACGAATATATGAAATAATTAGAGGTTAAAAAATATATATTTCATAATAAGATAAATTATAAAAAATAAATATCATTTTCTGACAAAAATTAAAGAGAAAAAAAATTAAGACATTAATTCAGTAATCAAAATTACATTTTTTTATGTTAGTTGTTATTTATTTTATTAATTTTTTATACGATTCAAAATGTAGATGAGATTGATTAGAAGACGAGTAGTATAATTTTTAACACTAATAAATTTGTAATTTTATGAGCGAATGATAACGTACAAAATGTAATTGAAAAATTATGTGATTCACGGGAAGATGGGTTTTAAAAAATTCCTCGTAGAATAGGACAAGTGGACTTAATTATACACTTACGTTAAGATATTAAAAAAAACAATTAAAACCAATATACAAAGTACTAGCACACAAGATATATTACGTGTGTTCAATAAATACACAGACTAAAATTATTACAGAAAAACGTTTGATGTAACGGTAATATTATTATACCAAAATAAACTAGAGATAATGACCATTATTTTAGTATATAATAATAATAATCATTATCTCAAATCAGTCATTGACAATATGCGATTAAAGTTGGTCGATTTGTATAAAATAATGATTTCACGATGGATAATATTACGGAGCAACACGCGTGTATTAAATTTTGTTTCAAAATTGGTAAAAATGCTACGGATACTTTTGAATTAATTAAATTGGTTTTTGGAGATGTTTTACTAAGCTGTTGTGTAACTTTTAAATGGTTCAAACGTTTTAAAGAAGGTGGATATACATTGAAGATGACCATCGTCCTGGGCGTCCGTCAACATCAAAAACACATGATACCATTACTCTTGTTCGAAACAAAATTAGATATGACCGACGATTAACTGTCAGAGAAGTAGCCAATGAAGTTGACATATCAATTGGTACTTGTCATTTGATTTTATCAGATGAATTGGGTATGAAAAGAGTGTCCGCAAAATTAGTGCCAAAATTGTTAACTGAGAAGCAAATGGAACATCGCATTGAAGTTTGTTTGGAACTAAAAACTCGGATTTCTAATAACCCAAATTTTATAAATTTGGGTCATTTAATCAATTATTACGGGTGATGAAACATGGGTGTATGGATATGATGCCGAAACCAAAGTTAAGTCATCACAATAGAAGACTGCAAATTCCAAAAAAATGTCATCATGTCCGGTCAAACATTAAAGCAATGCTCATTGTTTTTTTCGATTTTTTTTATTTAGTCCATTATGAGTTTGTATCTACAGGTCAGACATTAAATTAAGTGTTTTATAAACAAGTAATAGAAAGATTAAGAGAAAAAGTATGCCGTAAAAGGCCAGAAACGTGGAAATCAAAGTCGTGGTTTTTGCACCATGACAATGCATCAGCGCATTCAGCACTTTCCTTCGTGAATTTTTGGCATCTAAAAATATACCAGTAGTACCTCACCCACCAGATTCACCTAACATACCTCCCTGTGATTTTTTTTTATTTCAAGACTAAAAAGTACCCTCAAAGGCCAAAGATTCGATGACGTCAACGAAACTATTCAGAACGCGACACAAGAGCTAAAGGCTATAACTATGGAGGACATTCAAAGGTGTTTCAAAAAGTGGCAAGACCGTTGGGAGCATTGTATCGAAGCTAAAGGACACTATTTTGAAGGTGATCCATTTAAATAAATAAATAATAAACTTTTAATAAATTTTGTCTGGGTATTTATTGAACACACCTCGTATATTTTATGTAAAATAATATTATATTAAATTACTCCCATTTATTATATTAAAATACATTTATCTTTTAACTTTGTCACTGAATATGATTTTATCTTCATGATAGAATAATAAACAATGGTTAATGTTAAAAACTGAATATTAAAAAATACTGTACAAGTATAGAACTATTACAAAACACATAAAAGAATGAGTTGATATTTTGAGATGAATAAATGGTCACCATAGACGGTGTTAGATGAGAGCAACGGAACACTTGATCTCATATAACTAAATATAAAAAGGTCATTCGGTAGTTTTTTATTAGGTTTGGGTCATATGGTATATTTTCTATAGAGCTTCAAAAATTGTAACAAATACTCTAAAGGTAATGTATTCATTTAATTTATTTTAAATTTTGTTAAAGCATCAAAAGGAATGATTTTAAATTATTGAAATCACCTTCATACATTTTAATTTATTGATTTATTTGGATAAATAAATTGTATACTTCTTTAGTTAGACCTACGTTAGAATATTGCTCAGTTATTTGGAATCCTTCACAAGTCGGATTGATAGAATCGCTTGAGCGTGTACAAAGAAGATTTTTACGTTTAATCGCATATAAGAGACGTATGATTCCTATTAATAACCCTTCCGAGTCAATATCACTTAATTCTGTACAGGCTTCCCTTAACTTAGATTCCCTTGTTAATAGGCGAAAATATACAGACGTCTGCTTTCTTTCTAAATTAGTAAATGGTGCTATAATCTGTCCAGAACTATTACAATCCATAAACTTTCACGTTCTTGTCCCACATTTGAAATCCCTTTTCATCGAACATCTTACGGTTTTAATAACCCTGTTGATCGAATAGCCAGAGAGTGCAATAAATTAAAATTTGATTTGTTTATTATGAATGATTTGTATTCCTTAAAACACTGATTTTAGTAGCCTGATGCATATCATTAAATCACCTTTCTTTTTTTTGTAAATTTATTTTAATATTATGTACTTAATTAATTATAATTGTAACATACTTGTATCTTATTTTAACAATGTTTTATTGTCACTGTACTTGAGCCCACCTGGGCGTTTACACCAAATAAATAAATATGTAAATTTAATATATAGCAAAAGTGGAACTGTTAATTAAAAAGTTAAAAAAAAAAAAATTTTTAGGTGTTTAAACCCAGCAGTAATCATAACTACTTACAAAAATATACTGTTTTTAAAAAATAATAAGATTTAAAAAAAAAACCTAGCACAGTGGGGTCGCGGCAGGGGATGTGGCATAGTTGGGTTCAGTATAGATGATATCTGATAGTAATTAAATCACTATCATAAAAAAAGCTTCGATGAAATCTGTAGATAGTGTTTAATTTTAAAAAATTGATGGATTATTCCAAAAGCTTCATGATCTCCTATTTCCTTATTTATATCCTGATAACAAGTTTTATGATTTATAAGTGTAATAAATGAATAAATAAATATCTATATATATTTATAATATACAAATATATAAAAGGAAATGGTATTATTTAAAAAAAAAGTATGTCGAATGAAAGAAGGATATAAATATTATTTCTCATAAAAAATTATATTGATCCATATATTTTTCAAAAAGTTATAACATTATAAAGTTAAATATTTAAAATATAAAATCCAGAATTTTAACACAAAAATAGCATTCAATTTTCACCGTGAAGACAAAATAAAGTCAGACATTTTTTTTTCCATAATAAAGTATATTACATTATCTTTAATTTAAGATATGTATAAAAGTGTAAGAGTTTCCGGAACACTTTCAAAAGTTAAGTTAAAAAAGTCAACTTTTTGTAAAAAAATTGTCATTTTGAATCCTTCTCTGTGAGCAGGTAAAGGGTCACATTTATAAAATATACATACCAAATGATAGGTAAAGACAACATGCATTTATAAAAAAAATTAATTTTATTAATTTGGTCATTTTTAAAAAAGTTATGACAGTTTTAAGTAAAAAAAAATTGAAAAAATATCGAAAATTAGCGATTTTTAAATTTGAAATTTTTTTGGAGATTTTCCCCATTTACGGGGAACGAGGGAAATTTTTTCAATATTTAAAGGTAATGTCTTTGACTAGATACGATTTGTGATCTTTTGACGTATCGTTGAAAGAAATCGAATCAGTGAGAGCTGAGAAAAAGTGGTAACAGACACAAAAAAAAAGAAACACATCATTGTAAAATTAATACTTTCTCAGCTTCGCATCGTAGCTAAAAGTATGGCTTAAAAAAAATTAATATTTAATATTCCTTTAAAAAAAATCATATCAATACAATAATTATCATAAAAGTTATAGAAATCTAAAGTAGAAATTTAGAAGAAACAGTAATTTTAAATTGGTTGTGTTGAGATATTTATAAAATATTGAAGCCATTTTCTTTAATCAGATAAAACGCCTATTATTTTGATGAACTAGTTGATAATATAATAACTAAATAATAAACAGAATCGCACCAAAGCGTGTTTTACGATAGTGATATTTTAATTTTTGTCCAATAATTTATATTTGTCCCAACTGTACCGTGTCCCCACTATGCTGGGTGATCTTCTTTTAAGTTTTAATACATTCTCATTACCTGATCCACTTCTATCTATTTTATAATTTTGTTTATTTAGAACTATAAAAAAATTAATACTATGATAAATATTTAATAGGACCAAATTTGGAAAGTTCCTAAAACAATATATAACTCTAATATAAATATAAATATGTCATAACTGTTAATATGTTCCTCTTACAATAAATGAAAAATTAGCTCGGCTCCTTGATTTTGTTAATCCGAACTTTTTTCTATTATATTATTATTAGTATTCGGTCATACTCACTTGTGGTAATCTATCAGGTTGTTTTATGTGCAATCCGCCAACTTCAACTATTTGTGGAACCAAAGGATATGGTCCATTCATTGAAAAATGACTATTGACCAACACTAAACTTGCTTTTAAAACAAAATCATTAATGTTAAGCTGTAGATTTAATTTTTCTCGAATAATTCGTTGACTCCATGGTCGGTGGAATAATCGAAATACTAAATTCCAACCGAATGTATATAGAATATTTTGAAATTTTTCATATAAATTCATATTTTGTGATAATCCACTAGCAGTCGCAGGTCTGTATAATACCTCATGTGGCTGTCCAACTGCAGAAGCCGTCCATGGTAAGAGGGCGCAGCTACTAAGCAGTATAAATGGTGCATTATATTTAACGGCAAAACCCAGAGCAAATTCACTATTAAAATGTTCAGTTATAACTAAATCGAATTTTTGACTATTGTTATTTACTAATTCTTTAACTCCCTGTACTTCAAATAGATTTTCAGTATCTTGTGCGAGTCTGTACAGTAATAATATCTCTGATAACCAATCTCTTAACCTAAATGATGATATGTCAGGAATTTCCTTACTGTTTTCAAACGTGGGTTTAATACTATTTAAACTGATATCTGTAATATTAGGATGCGAGGATTCAAAATAACTAATTATTAAAATATAATGTCCACAATTTGCTAATTCATGCATATAAGGCAAATATACTTGATGGTGACTTTTACCAAAGTGTGGAAATACACCAAGAATACGAGCACTGGATACACATAATATTATAGTTATGAATAAAGTTGAAAATAAAATGATCAGAGTCATAATCAACTGTAACGCGAACTACTTGATACTAGTAACAATGGTCAATGTCACAATTAGTACGGCATAGTTCTCAGAGAAACATGTAAAAGGTAAGTTGGAAGGAGAAATGTGGTCAAACTTTAAACCACGCTGAAATTATAAGTGCTTTAAATAAATTAATAGATGTATAATAAATATTAGTATTGTTAATCGTAAAAATATATTTACAAACATGAATAGAATAAAATGAAGTACACAAATAAATAAAAAAAAGATTAATTTAATAAATGTAATTGAATATACCTTTTAACAAATATTATATATTTATGATTACATATTATTTATATTATTAAAAAGAGATTAAAACTTAACGTTATACAAATGTGTTTTTGTGGCTTAAATGTGACTCTTTTCTGGAGCTAAAAATATATACATATATTTATACTAATTGTCTCACTAAGTTTTGACATCTTTAATAATTTTTGATCTAGGGCTATTTTGCGTTACATTTTTTTTTTTAATTTTTATAGTTTTAGACTTCATTAAACAAATATATATTTTTAATAATTACATTATTTGGAAATTTAAAAACAACCATTTTTTAGCTTTTTTCGTTCAGAAAATTTTGATAGGTTGATATCAACTTGAGGATAATACTTATTAAGTTACAAGCATTTTAATACATAGAGTGATAAAGTATCGCTATAGGAGAATTCGTTATAAACATACATTTATATGAGCTGTATCCAACCGCATTACATATCAACTCAATGTATAAAAATGCTTGTAAGTCAATAAGTACTTATCCTCAAGTTGATATCGGCCCATCAAAATTTTCTGTAAGAATATTTTTTTATTTATCTAAAAAATTTATTTTTAATCAATTCCAATGAAAAAACAAGGCCATAATTATTTATAACATTTCATTTTCTTTTTATGATAACATGAGATTATGATCAAGGCATTTGTGGTGATAAATATAATTGAAAGAAAACTACAAAATATAATTGTAAAAAAAGATCTTAACTACTGCACTTTTTTGTTTCCTCCATGAAATACATAAATTTGATAATAAAAACGGTTATATTATGATAATAAATGAAGAATAACAACTTTGAATAATATTCTTGGGAATTGTTGAAAATTTATTTATTGTATTTATGTCGTAATGCTTTAATTTAATGGTATGTATTTTTTTCCTTCAATCACTAACATGATTATTTTTAAATTTAATTAAATAATATTTCTATTAACAAACTTAGTTGTATTAACTAAATTAGTTTTTAGTTTAGAATATAAAAGAATTATTAATATTTTAAATTAAATTTTTAGTTAAAAACTGCTATTTATAGCTTTATTCTATACAAAATTAATAAAAATTATTTATTTCATTCTATTTTTTTATTATATTCTAGCGCACTATTTTTAGGGTTGCAAATTTTTTAATGAAAGGTATATTTGATGGGGTCACCTATATCGTGTTAAAGAGTTGTCAATATTTGTTAGGATTAGAAGAAAAATTATTAAAATAAAATGAACATTATTTTGATAAATTAAGATATAGACCATGATTATATCTTGTGATACATTAAGAGAAACTACACGAGCCATTTACCTTTTATTCCCCAATTTTGAAAGGTATATCACTGATTGTGATAATTCATGATTAAAGACTAACAAAATATCTAATTAATTATAAATAGGTTTATTTTCAGAAATCATACTATGTAAGATCTTAAATTTATACATAATATTATTGCAGTGTAGAGCATATCATACTATAGTTTTTAAGTGTGTTGCACAAAAGATCAATTAAACAAATAGGTCTATCCTAAATGTTAGACAGTTTAAAACCCTAACTATTTTATAATTATACAATGCAAAAATACTATCTTATACTGTCCTATTGAATTTTAAAACAATAATTTTAGCTATCAAAGATATTTTTATAATTTTTTTCATTCCATATTAAGAAACAAAATAGACGTGTAATTTATATACTCTCTATTTGGTACCTCAACAATTTTAATTACCATAGAATCTGAAGAGTGTATTTACCAAAAAATAAATTTTTAAACATATTATCAATTTTCTGTTATAAAATTTAGCTTTAGAACTATGTTACTTTTAGGGTGAGTTAATCATTGTAACACTAATTATAAAAAAAATCTATATAATATTGTTATTTTTTTTTTTTTTTTTTTTTGATATGTTCTTCAGACTATAATAATGTGTTCATATATTTCATGTAAAAATGAAGTATAACTTACTAACAAATCTACTCAAAATTAATTACAAAACCTTAATTTTCATTTTTTTCAATAGTTTAAATTCCCTCAAATCTCGTTTAGTTTTTAAACTAAATTTAAGTTTCAATTTAGTGAATTTTTGTGTATCTGACAATTTTTTATCTTAACTACTCTGTTCTATTAGTATTTAAGATTATTTTATTTATAATTGATACTGTAGGATATATAAGTTCTTTGCTCGTCTAACCATTATTTAGTTAAATTTAATACTAAATTTAATTACAATCATAGTAGATAGATTAAAATGTATAGAAAAATAATAAGAAATTAAAAATAATTGATAAAAATATATATAAATAAGACCAGATTGTGAATTAATAATGCAGAATATATACATTTTTTTTTTTTTAGAAAAATGGGAGATCTTAAGAAAATTTACCTAATGATCCAAAATAATGTTTTAGAAAATGATATAAGAGAAGCAATTATTACATTTAATCATCATTATGAAAGAGTCAAGGATTTAAAAGGTTTCCAAAATTTTACTATCAGTGTTATTAGCACATTGGCTCATAAACTTCAATCTGAATTAGTAATAACAGAAAAAAAACAATTACGATCTGTAAATGTTAATGATGTGATTGAACTCTCTGATTGTTGCTTTAAAATACTAATTGAATCCGATATAAAACCATGGCAAAATAGTTTATATGTAATTGTGAGATATCTGTTATCAAAAAATTGTATTACAGAAGCTGTTTATTTTAGTAACTATATTTTGAAACATACATTACCTCCATGTGAAATAATTAAACTTCTTGTACAACTTTTAACACACGATATTTATAAAAGATGTCCAATTGATGATGATTTGAAGAAATTAAATATTTTACTTATGTGGGAAACAGTTCTAAATTTAGTAAAATATCATACAGGAAAGGAAATGGAATATGCATTACATTCACTATCATCGCTAGTTAAAAATGTAAATGGACCTGTTAAGCATGAAGGACGTACAATAGATTTGGTCCTCTTAGAAATGACTATAGAAACTGTTTTATCTTCTAGTGTTTTCAGAAAAACTAGCAATCATGATAATATGATGAATTTATATTCTTTATTAATTGAAAGTATTACTGCAGTTATGCATAACATGATGAAGAATAAACAAATACAAGTTCATTTTTTGATAAAACATGTTGAACTAATGATTGATGTTTGTTGTTTAAATAAAACTGAAAAGGAATCACTTAATTTTTTAATATTATTATTTAAATTAATTCATAGTTCAGTTAAAAATGGTCTTGATGTTAATATTGAACTTAGAAAAATTAGCACTTTTATTCAAAAACACAACCCTGAATCAATTTCACCTCATTCATTGCTTTATTATGTTTTTAAAGCTGCTGTCACTACAGTAGCAAAGTTGAAGAATTTATGGTATGACGAACTCATGAGTCATTCTCGCGAAGCAACTTCTCAAATGTTTCAGTTAATTCAAAATTTAATATTATTTAGTAAAAATAATCCATTCTGTAAAACTTGCTGTAAAAGCGAAAAATGTAATTTAAATGTAGATGTTACATCTTTAATGAGCTTGATAAATATCGTCTTTATTATAATAAGGCACACTGTACCTGTAAATCCTACTTATTTATGTTCAGAAGAAATTGAAATGTTTATGGAAATATTTTTTTCGTTGTACACAAGTGTTGATAAATCAAAATGTTCAAATAAAATATCATTCAAAGAATTTTCATTAACAAGTGCTTATAACCTTTGTATTAATTTAGAATCTGGTGAATTTTTTAAAACATTTTTGAATTTTTTGTATAAATTAAATTTTATGCTTGATGATAACGATATTGATGCAAAACTTGTTGCTCGAATTACTGTACTATTGAGCCGTTATTTGTACACTGATAACAAATTTGAAGATGCATTAAAATGTACTGCGTATTCTTGTATTCGCACAAAATCTGAAATTGCTGCTCAACAATGGGTACATCTTAAGTGTAAAGAAGAAAAAAATGGCCGAATTGTCAAACATACTATTTTAAAAATGGTAGAAAAAGATATAGAGAAAAGTATAAAATGGCCATCTCTTAAGCTAGAGAAAACTGATGATATAGACATTATGTGGTTAGAACTGAAAGCACATAATAACCGTAGTCGAATTAAACAAGACATTTCTACAGTACTCGAATTGTTTGAAAGCTTATTAAGTCATAAGTTATCTACTGAATTCAAATGTCGTATTATCATTGCTACAGCATACATTATACTCCATTCGGATAATGTTAAAGGTTTAGAAAGAGTAATTGAAGTCATAGATGACGTTACTCATACATTAGAAGTGGATTCTGCAATGAATACCAATAATATGTCATTGGTTATAGGAAATATGTACTATGCTCAATTTATGTGTTCATTAAAACATCTCCAGAATCTTGTATGTAAAGAATTGGATTCATATATTGAAGAAAGACAAGAACCAGGAATAGAACAACAAAGTAGCTTGTATTATCAGCCTATGTCTTGGATAGTACCATTAAAGATACAGCCTAAGTTATTTAATTATTTAAATTTAGCCTTAAAACATTGGTCCAATATAAAAAATTTTGTAATACAAGATGAGTACGACCTTCAAACACTTTTTATAAGTCTTCGAGAAACTGGTTATATTTATAAACTACATTGTGATTCAAAAGAAGTAGAAGTTTGGAAATTATTACACAACATCGCACTTATGAAAAAGTGCGATAAATATATATTTATAGCACTATTAGAGCAAGTAAAAATTGGTTTAATAGATATTAAAGAACTTGAAATAGTTGCAAATAAACTTCCAAAAATGAATATCGAATACAAGTTGACTTTGATAATTTCATTTTTAAATTTTTCCAATTTTAATGAAGCTAAAATTTTGTTGGATAGTATAAATATTGATGATTTTAATAATGATATTATACTAACAGCTGAATATTACTACATAAAAAGTCGTTATCATTTTGAGTCATTGAAATTTGATCCTAGTAAAACACTATCAGTTTTTATTGATGCTTACAATATATCACATAATCTCATTAAAAGATTAGATTCATTTAGTGATTATTTGGTTATGCATTTTATATTATTGAACATTTGCTCTTATTTAAATTTAATATATGTTAATACATTTAAACCTGTTGAAGCACGATGCTTTTTAAAAGTTCAAATGAATATTGTTCTAAAATCTGTCTTAACTAAAAGAGCACTACATGTTTTTTCTATGAACTGTTGGAATGAATTAGTAAGTTGTAACTTTGAAAACTTTAATGGTCAATTAGAACATTTGATGACTCTATTAGATTTCAAAGAAGATGATGTAGACTTAAAAATGCAAAAATTAACTATTCATGATTCTCCATGTACAATATCATCTCCGTTATCAGATTATAGATGTGTACCAAATCCTAGGCCAAATAGAATAGCTTCTCCTTCATTAAAAAGATTAAATGATAGTAACTTTCAAATGAGCTTAATGGATTTTTGTAATGACACTTTAGAAAGCAACAAATCACATGACCCAACAATAGCTTACTCGGTTATTGAACTTTGTATTCTTAAAGCAGTTTATTGTTCAAAAACAAGTCAAAAAAATATGGCAGAAAATTATTTTAAACTAATTTTTAAATTAATATCCTTTTTCACACCAAAATTTAATAAAAATGAAGTATACAATATTTTGAAAAATAGACAAGTTGTTACAGCTAAATATTATTTTGCTGAACATCTGATTCGTCATGGTAATAAAAATCAGTCTCTTAACTATCTGCAGAAAGCTAAAAAAAACTACATTGATCCATGGATATCTTTAAGTGCTGGAGAACTAGATATTTCATTTAAGATGGATACAATTTTAAGTTATTGTGAGCCAAAAGTTAGTCATTCGCCAAGTTCTGAAATGAAACTACTAAAAGAATTTAAGACACCTGCAGCTACGAAATCACGAATAAAGTCAACACCAACTGTAAGACGACTTAAAATGGAACTAGAAAGCCCATCCAAAACAAATCTTAAAATAAACAAAGAAAACTCTGAATTCAAAACCCCAGCTATAACAAAAGTACCAATAAAATCCACACCAGCAGTTCGGAGGATAAAAATGACATTAGAAAGTCCATCATTATTAACTAAAAAAGAAAATTCAATTAAATCTTCCAATAGACAAGATAGTAGTGTAAAAGTTAAGGAAAAAAGAAGTTCCAAAAAGAAAGATACTGAACAATCACTGATAGTTAAAAAGCGTCCTGGAAGATTGAATATTTAAAAATGATGGGGCTCATCTCCAGTTATTACTTTTTATGTGGTAGAAAATGAATAAGTTTGTATTAATTTTAAATATCCATTTGTAATTGTAAAAAAATTTATTTATTACCATTTATTTGTTTTGCAATATTTTAATTGATTTGTATTAATATTTTTACTGTGAAAATTTGTTTTATTTTATTATTAAATTTTATTAAGTCTGATAATCAATTATTTTTTTATTACAGTTCATAATATTTATCTGGTGTTTTGGACTAGGTCTAATTTAAAATGAACTGAGCTAGGTCGCAACAAACCAGATTAAACATTAATATTAAATCGTGACGCTCGTGCGAATTGTAAAAAAAAATCAAATGAACTATTTTCTTTGAAAATAAAATTTAATGTATGAAACTTAAAAAAAATTTAATTATATTTGTAGTAATTTTTGAATAGATCATATCAAATTAGACTTGATTAATTTTTTTACTTGGACCAGACCTATAATTTTACCCAAATAATATCTTATTGAAGGTTTTACTCTTAATATAAAAGAAATTATCAAAATTTATTTTTACGAAAATACTCCAAAAATTTGTATCATTGAAAACAGTAAATTTTTTTTGCTAGTATAAATTATTACTTTATACAAAAAATAAAATGTCAATAAATTTTACTACTGATAATATTATTTTTTTGAAAATTGGATTAAAAACTTGGTACGAACGGAGTTTCAGCATAATAAAAAATTTGTGAACATTTTTTTATTTTTGTATAAGTTTTAAAAAGGGAAAATTAGATACTTTAAAGTTTAAACATTTATCCAATTTAAGTTTTTAAAACGAACTTAATGACGATTTGATTTCAATAAAAATGTGGTCACCGTAGTAAAAATAACTTCGTTTAATTTTCCAACTTTAATGTCATAATACATTATTTATATAATTTTGATTACAAAAATTGACTCATTTTGTTTGCTAAATTTTGGTATTTGACAAATCTGGCATGGCGGGCTGTTTTGAAAGTTTACGGTAAGACAAGACAGTGTAAATTATCCTTACTACAGAATTCAAACAGACATTTCTTAAAAAATTGACTAGTTCCCGAGCTCAACAATATTTTTTACCGCAGACATACCTCAGTCTACTAATACACTTCTTGCTACATTTGTTGATGATACAGCTATACTCTCTACTCATAGTATTATTATTGAAGTTGCCCATCATCTACAAACGCACGTCAAAATTATGAAATCTTGGCTTAAGAACTGGATTATTTAAATAAATACAAATAAGTCAAGTCATATATCATTCGCCCTCAGATCCGAAAAATGCCCAGATAAAAAATTAAACAATACAGTAATTAATTTAATACCTACAATGAAACTAAGTACCTAGGCATAATTTTGGACAAACGATTGACGCGGGAATCTTGCCTGAAAGACAAAAGAATAAAAGTCAACAGCAGATTTCATCTTTTACGTCTGTTAGTAAAATCTAAATTACCCCTCCAAACAAAATTACTTATTTATCAGTCAATAATCAGACCAGTCTAGTCTTATGGTATTCAGATATGGAGACCAGCTAAACTATCTAACATTAGACCAATACAATCTTTTCAAAAAATTATATTACGGATGTTAACTGGTGCGCCTTGGTGTGTAATAATAACCTATACAAAGATTTAAACATTATAACTGTCAGACTTGCTATTTTACACCATACTAGATTTCATTCCAAACTCAATTTAAACACAAACCCTTTAATTTAAAAAAATTACACAGCTTCAATACCGGACTACCCACCACACAGACTTAAACATAATTAGAACCGAGATTTATTGTTATAACAAGGTGTTACCAATGAGTGACTTCCTTTAAAGCTATTAATGTTATGTAATTGAATAAGTCAACAAAAAAACTTATTGTAAATTTTATGTACAGATTGTTTTTTTTAATAAAAAAAAATCAAATCTAAATAACTATAATATAGACTTGGTAACTTGAATTTGATACAGTTAAAATATTCACTAGCAAAATAGTTTAATAAGCATTGGCAACGTTTACTTAAGAGATATATTAACTAAGTGCTTTAAATACTTAAGCAGTTTCTGCGAGTAAACTACCTCTTGTTTTTTTTTTGAGGGGAGAAAGTAATTTATGTGTATATGGTAGAGAAGCTCTCATGAGTTTCTTCCCCAAAAAAAGGAATGGAGTGTGCCACTACATCCCCACCCAACTTGGCTTTTAACAGACAATTTTTCTAAGCAATATTCATGTTACCTTAGAATTATTATAACCCAAAAATAGTTAAGTCGTAATAAATATTTGGATTTTGACACGTAAAATATAAATAATTTAATTTTTAATTAATAAGCATAATTATTCAAAAAGTATCATAGCCAACGGTGTATTTATACCATTGTCGGTTGATAGCTGTATCTCTAGTCTCTAGTCATTTGCTAGTCCTTTGCTAGCTATATACTAAAATCTCAGCCCCTCTGAATAAGCTGCACCTGGAAGAGATTTTCCCTTTTTTCCGTTTTAAAATTCGAATATTTCTCCGATCGCCTCGATTCCCATACCGTTCGACGGGCCCCGTAGTTACGCGTCTTTTCTTTGCGGCGCGCGAATTTTTCGCCTTCTCCGTTTTCTTAAATTCGCGATTCCGTGGAACGGAAAACAACGCCGAATAAGGGAGCGCGTCTCCCATGGTAATGGCACCGATAAATTAATTTTGTAATTTTTAGACTTGCATCTGTTGTGCCCGTACGAATACTCTGGAAATCGCTGATGGTTTTAGTTTTATTACAAGGATAATTCATTTTAATTTCTTTAAAAAAAATTATTTGTTACTGACTTCTCTTAAAGTAAAGTTTATCTTTTTATATTGTAATTATTAAATGGTGGTAATAATGATATCATTTTTAAATTATTGATATAATCATGGTTAATGGCAGTATAAATTAATTTGATTTTGTAATTTTTTAAAAAATAATCTTTGTTATTCACTTTTCTTAAATTAGAGTTCATCTTTATACATTTTAATTAATTTACTTTGCATATATTAATCATTAGTTTGATTTGTATTTCATTTATTGATGCTATTTGTACTACATCAGCCTATACAATCTCTCTCTCTCTATATATATATACATACTTATAACTATATTTTACACTTATACACTTTAAATTGTAGATATTTTATTATTATTATGGTAATGGCAGTATTAATTGATTTGTCTTTATAATTTTCAGTCTATGCATTTGTTTTGCCCGGTCGACTGTGATTGATTAGCGGCCAACCGACCCTAAGAGTGCTGGCTCTAATTCATGTTAGTTGTATTATACGGGTAACTGATTTTGACTTATTTCATTTGACATAAATTTAATTACTTTGCCTGCTTTAATTATTGGGTCGGTATTTTATTTATTGTTGATTACAATGTAATGTGTACTGCATTGGCCGATAAGATCCAAATGTTTTTGATTTTTTTGTACGTGTATATTTATTTATATTCGGTTATGCGATTATTTATCGAATTGTGTGTAATGAAGTTCGTCTTATTACATAAACAGCAATTGTAGTTTATATGAATATCTTTTCTGATGAAAGTATAACGGCAACGACATTATTATTTAATAAAATGTGTATTGGATAATCGTACGACAAATGAAATTTTTTTTTTTTTTTGTTTCTCCTCTATTATAATAGTGACTGTATTAATTAATGTGATTTGTAAATTTTAGATAGTGCACGGCCTTTGGTAAATCTGCAATATTTTCACTGTTGTTGTACTCACGATATGTTGATAGTTCTGTGCTGTTGGTTTTTTTTTTTTTAGCCAACGCTTGCCCTCCCTTACTGTTTGCCGTTCCTCCAAAATGGTACTGTAAGCTTTTCGTCAGTTGTTATCTTAGATTTTATTTTCATTTATATTGTTTACTTTTCAGATCGCATGTCAAACCTCGATTCCATAAGATATTGCCATTCGACAACGGAGGATCATCACGATTACTACGTGCAGTCCGCTCTCGGAGTTCATCGAAAACGTTTATTTCGTATTTAATTTACAACGTAATTCCTTTACCGATATTATTGTATCGGTTTACGTTTGAGTCTCTCATTAAACCGTATTTTTCTAATGATAATTATATCAATTTGTACTTCGAGTATATTACTTCAATTAGAACGACATTTTTTTATGTGTGTGATCGTGACAATAAATAAACATTAATTAATAAAAAAACGTTCATTTCTTTTTATTTTTAAAAGAAACTAATATCCTATGTTTACAATATTATTTACCATAGGTCGAAAAATAATAAATTATTTTAATAAATTATTAATTATAATAAAGCATTCAAGTTATATTTTGAGTACTGTATTTTAATATGAATAAAACCTTTTTTTATGCGTGTTGTTGCCCAATAATGAAACATGATTTTTCCTATTTATATTACTTTTTTTATTTGAAAAAATAATAATTTTTTATGTGTGCGATATTTTTTTAAAAACATTAAGACTTCATTGTCTTATATAAAAAATATCTTATCTAATTTTACATTTTATGCATGGGAATTATCGTACACGGTGACTCTTAGTCGATTATTATACATTGAATTCCGAATCGTATTCGTTTTGTTCGAATGACAAACAGTTCACTATTGCATTATTTTCAAATTTACGAGTTTAAATATTTATTTATTTAGCGAATACTTGAAATATTCGTTTTTGCCTACTCCATTAAATACATTCAACGTACTTTAATTTCAAATACTCTACTTTAATATGAAATATTAATCGGTTTTAGTGAGTATACTATTTCTGTATATTTCCTTCCACGAACCCGATCGACGCGTTGGACGTCCTACCGATTTCTCCTGTTATTGTTCAACGCAACGTATACGGCGCAGCCGGNTCCTACCGATTTCTCCTGTTATTGTTCAACGCAACGTATACCCCTTTTCGTAATCTGTTACCTACTTGGTAACCGGCCTTTGCCGCCCCTTTTCTAGATCGCGTAGCAAACCCTTGGTTTCCGTAGTGAGATGTACGTTCGAAACGTTTGAACTTCTTTTCCGAAATCATCTCCCGATCCAACTTCGCTTTTGCAGCCCCTGCTAGAATAACGGACGGGTTTGGATTTGTTGTGAGGTGGAGTTGCACTTTTTTCCGTTATCACTTGCTCCCGATCCCACTTTGCTGGGTCTCACGTGGGTTTTGAATTTGTTGGGTTTACTGTGTACGATGGGGGGGGGTTGCACTTTTTTCCGTTATCACTTGCTCCCGACCCCACTATCCCTTAAAACACTAAGATGAGAATTATTTTTATTCCTTAATAAAATGTTCCTCCATGACTTTTATGTTCAGATAGTTGATGCACACCACGAACTCAATATATTATTATCACAGATTATATGAAGTAAAATTTCATAAAATATTTAATGATGAGGATGTGCTTTAATAATTGATTGTATAGATGGTGTTTTAGTTTTAGTAAAAAAACACATCATGATTATTAATAAGATATTAGATATCAGTCCGTCAAATTCGTGATGCAAATTATACTATCTCATTTTTTATTACACATCCCTACCACCTACTAAAGTATTGATAACGCATTGGTTATCATTGGCTATTGCTTAGATAGGATTTCTGTTTCAGCGCATAGGGTACAGAAAGGGCCGGTGACGATATTTTGTACTGAATTTGCGTGTCATTGCAATAATCTAAACATGAAATCTTCCTTTTTGACTTATGTGACATTGCTTTTTTGCCTAAATCATTGTGTGTGGACTTTTTATCTTCCTGGATTGGCTCCAGTCAATTACTGCAAAGAGGACACCTCCCAATGCAAAGTAAATTTCTAATATAAAGAGTTCGGAACTTAAAACATTTTTAACATTATTTTGAGTTACTTGTAAGACTTTCAACTTCGTAAAAAATTATCGTAAAGGTGGACCATACCACTAAAACGTTTTTTGTTCTAAGAGGAGTGATCCCATCGCCTTTATAACTAAATTTCAAATTAATGTTTATTGTCTAACATGTAGTAAAAGTAACACGTATATCTTTTTGTCATTGATATATTGGAAATATTTAAATAAATTTTATAAATACCTTAAGTCCCGAGCGCTTCTGATATGTAAATCAACATTTTTCACGTTTCTTACATTTTATGTATTATATTGTATTTAAGTAATATTTGGTTCTTTTGCATGTTTATAAATTTAATATAAAGTATTTTTGCTATACCTGTTTGCTCATTTTGGGTGTTATCCTTATAATAAATAAATAAATAAATATTTATAAATCATCTAAATTATAATTAACATTATTAACACACTTAAAACTTTTCAGAATTAAGTTTAAAATACTTAGTTATATATAATTATACCATAAGTCTATATAGCTATAGTTATTCAATGTCTATTTCAATGTTTTTAGTGTGTCAATATATATATATATATATATATATTCTGCAATTATGAAAACTTAGTTTTTTATTAAAATTTTTAGTTGAATTAATTTAGAAATAACGTTTATTTTTAATGTATTTTTAGAGCAATGTTGAAATGTATGTGAATAGATTAAACTCTGACGAGTCTGTTATACCTTATGAATACCACTAGTAAGTTATTTATATTTTACTAATATGACTTTAAAACACAGTGCATTGTATATCATTATAATTGTAAATTTTTATCTTCATTGTATAAAATAATTAGTATGATATTCAGATAAATAATTGTAAATAAGTGTAAATAAAAAAATTAATGCATACAAAAATTACTAAAAATTGAATTAAAAATCAATCAAATCTTACTGAAAGTTGATTATGTATTTGCCATTTAAATAATCATGTGTGACATTAAAAAAATATATAATATATTATCTCTAAAGTATGATAAAATCATAGGGGTGTAGAAAATTACTTACTTGAGGCCACTATTGATATAAGTTATAATTAATCTAATTTTAGCTTCGATGCGAAGTTGAGAAGGTATTAATTTTACTATGATGTGTTTTTTTTTTTGTGTCTGTTACCACTTTTTCTCAGCTCTCACCAAACCGATTTCTTTCAACAATACGTTAAAACATCACAAATCGTATCTAGTCGAAGACATTACTCTCAAAAATTGAAAAAATTTCCTTCGTTCCCCGTAAATGGGGGAAAACTCAAAAAAAAAAAATTATATATTATAAAATTGCTAATTTTCGAAATTTTTTCAATTTTTTTTACTAAAAACTGCCATAACTTTTTCAAAAATGAACAAATCAATATCATTTTTTTTTTTAGACGCCTTGATGTCTTTACCTATCATTTGGTATTTATTTTTTTATATATTTACCCCTTTACGGGGGGGATTCAAAATGACAAATTTTTCACAAAAAATGAACTTTTGAAAGTGTTTCAGAATTCTGATACTTTTATATATATCTTAAATGAAAGCTAATGTAATATACTTTATGTAAAAAAAAATTTCAGACTTTATTTTGTCTTCACGGTGAAAATGGTTACCAAATGTTATTTTTGTGTTAAAATTCTCGATTTTATATTTTACATTTTTAACTTTAAAATGTTATAACTTTTTGAAAAATATATGGATCAATATAATTTTTTTATGAGAAATAATATTTTTTAATAATCCCTTTTTCGTTTGACATACTTTATCTTAATCAGGATATTAATTAGGAAATAGCAGATCATGTAACTTTTGGAATAATTTTTTAAAATTAAACACTATCTAAAGATTTGCATCGAAGCGTTTTTTTTTTTTGATAGTGATTTTAATCACTGTCAGATATCATTATACTTGATTCAACTATTCCACGTCACCACTGTGCCGCTACCCCCCTGTACTGGGTTTTTGTTTTTCTTATTATATAATACTGTTGAAAATTAACTTTTTAGGACAATAAAAGATTCTCTAGGTTAGCGATTAGAAGTTTAGGTTTTACTAAAGTTTTTATATTTCATAAATTTATTTAAGCTGTTAATATTTTTATTTTTTCTAGTTTTGATTTTTGTACATCTGATGAAAGTAAATCCCCAACAGAAAATTTAGGACAAGTACTTTTTGGTGAAAGAATTAGACCTTCCAAATATAAAGTAAGATAAATATTTTATTATGAAACAGATTACTACTACTAGTATCACTATGGATGAAATATTAATTACGTTTAATATAGCTGAAATGAGTTGTTGAACAATATTAAAGTATTGATTGTCTTTATTCTTAATAAATTTTTCAATTGATTAATTAAATTTTTTTCATCTTGGATGTTGAGAGTTTGAAGTAAGGCTGTACCTTAAATGATAACACAAAATTTAGGCTTGCAGAAGTGTACCTTGAGTAATACAATTTATGTCCTGATCATGACCAATTAAATTGGTAGATTGGAGATGAGAACAAAAAATATTAACCATGCCAAATTTTCTTATTGTCTTATCTACTGGTGTAACCACTAATAATAAAATGTTTAATCTCAATATTATATATGATAATAATTAACTTTGTTTTAATTGTTTTTTTTTCAATAAAAAGTTGAGGAATTATTAATTTTACCATTATGTGTTTTTTTTAAGATTTCTTTTATGAAAGATGAATCTTGTAAGAAACTTTGTACTAAAAAATATGATCCAGAAGATTCTAAAAGTCAAATGAAACTTTCAGTTTTAAAACGAGGAATGAGTTTAAACTATCAACATCATTTTATTGTTGGTATGTATAATGAAGTTTTTTTCATTCAATTACAAAAGGTTAAACGTAACTAATTGACAACTCTTACAGATTTTAATCTACTTAACATAACTACTATTTTTTTAAACAACTTGTATATTTAAAAAAATAATTTTTATAAATAATATTTTTTTGTAAATTTTTACTAATTTAATTAGTTGTAACCATTATTAAATCATAAAAGTATAAAAAATTATTTTATAAAATAATTTTATTTCAAGATAGAATTTGAAAAAATATTTTAATTCCTTGTATTTAATTTATTATTTAACAATATTAAATTATTATTTTTTCTCTTTATATTTATTTATTTATTTTTTATTATTGTACAATTTAAGTGATTATCAAATATTTAATGTTTCATAGATATCATTCCATAAATAAATAAATAAGGTTTCAAGCTATAAAAAGGACAGATTATTTTTAATAATGTTTTGTTGATATCTTTGTAACTTATAAAGAACTTAATAGTATCATTATTCAATGAAACTATTTATATTAGGTTCTTTGATGATGTTTCTAAAAATGTAATAAATAATAATTAAAAATATAAAAATTATATTTTCTTAACATTTAATAACTATTTATCTATTTTTACCATTAATAAGACTCAGAATTTAATACTTTTAAAAAATACTAAATATAAATACATTTATGTGCTTAAAAGTTGAAAATTTGCTTTAAAAGTATAGATAACTGATAATCATTGAATTGTTATCTTAAAATAACATTTATTGTTATTGTATATAATACCATATTTTAATATCAGCTGTTTCTATTGTATGATATGCATATATTATATAAATATAACTAATTGTAGTTGAAATGAGGTACTAATCATAATATTATGATACGGTTGCTGGAGATTGATGGTCGATTATTCAATGTGTGCCGGAGATCATGTGAAATAAGAGGCATCATACAAGATTAGAACTTGCGATACAAAGCATCATAGAGACAAATTTTATCATAAGGCCATTGAGCATCTATGATTTAAACCTGATACATTTTCATATTAATTGATTATGTGATATGTGGCTTAGAGAAACTTTAGTACCATATCAAGTAGCCTAACCCATCAAAATGTAGAATTTAAGATCATAACATTAATTTTTAATTATTATTTTTTTTTTTTTAATCTTACACTGAATTTTTAGTAATATTTATATGTTTTGTATTCAAAAAAAAAAAAAAAAATATTCAATGTATTACACCCATTTATTTCTTTATGGACCAATATTGCTCATCTCTCAATTATACAGAGTGTTCAGTAAGTAATAAAACAAGTCAGTTGTTACAAACAATGAGAACATAAGAAATCTGTTTCCTTACTTACTGAACACTATATATTTATAAATATGGTCAAAACATTGTTTTAATATTAATAAAAATGTGGAAAATACAATTGAAATACAAGAGACAGGAACTCTCAATATAAAAGTATTTTTATGTTTTATTAAAATATCATAACTTATAAATAAAATATGTTGTAAATAGTTGAAAAATTAAGAAATATACTTTAAAATTTTAAAATTATTAAATATTTTAAAAATACACTATCAATTATTGATATTTTTTTGTAGTATCTTGGAATAAATTTGTAGCTCACAATAATAATGGTCAAAAAAGTAAAACCAATACAATTTTTGAACCTTAGTTATTAAAATACTGTGTTTCTACAATAACACACTAATTTAATAAAATTTAAGTATTAATAGGTTAACTTTTAGAATGATAAAAATAACATGTTGGTCATAGTATTATTAATTTAAAAATAAATAATACTAATAAGATTATTTATTTTTCTTTGAATTCTTATTTTAGTGTATATTTTAAACATATATGATTGTACTATTTAATTTTTTTAATTTTTCTAGATAACATGCCAGTAACTTGGTGTTATCTTATGGAAGATGGACAGCAATATTGTAGCATAGGTTTTCCTATGGGATGTTTTTCACCATCAAATAGAAATGAAAATAATCTGTGTGCTAGCATACTTGGTGTATGTGTATATTAATTAAAATATAAAATAAAACAAAATCTATAATTTAATTTTAACTTTATAGAGCAACACTTTAAAACCAAATACTTATTACATCTTTAATCATTTAGAATTTACCATCACTTATCACAGTGGTAAAAATGAAGAATGGGGTTCATCATTTGGTTCTGAAGGTGGCAGAATTATTGGTTTGTTTAAATTTTTTTGAATTAATCATAATAAAACATCAATATTCATATGTATTTCAATTCAATAAAAATATATATATGCAAATGGCCTTGCTGAAATAATATCAAAAAGAATAATTTTTATTCTGATGTTAAAGCATTTATTACATTTTAGCTGTAAAAGTAAAACCCAGAAGCATAAAGCATACAGACGATAACTTGAACTGTGAAGATTCATTAAATTTTATGGACATACCTTCAGATAAAATAAAAACTGAATTAAGTATAACATATTCATACTCTATTAAATTTGAAGTAAGCACTTATATATATATTCAATTAAATTTGACTATTGGTAATCAAATTATTAAATATTTAGATAAATAACACTGTAAAATGGTCTTCACGTTGGGATTATATATTAGATTCTGTACCACATACCAATATTCAGTGGTTTAGTATATTAAATTCATTGATGATTGTAGTTTTTTTATCTGGAATGGTTGCAATGATTATTTTAAGGACATTACATAAAGACATTGCTAGATACAATCAAGTAAATAGTAATATTTTGTAGTAAAAATTCATTTTGTTTTTAATATTAGAGAAATATTATGTTAATCAAATGTATTTATGTGTTTATAAATTTATTATTCAGTTTAGAAGTTATGATGTTTGAAACGTTTCTATGTTTTTACTCTTTTAAGTTTGTTTTTTGCTAACTTTAAATTTATCAATAATAGTAAAATACAACGTAAATTGTTCAAATAATCATTTATTTTTTAATATTTTTTAATGAATTTCTAATGTATTTTAATTTTTTATTTAATTTGGGAGTTCCCGTTTGGACTGATATGTAACATTAAAGAGTTTATTTAGCATTATTATCAATATAATTAAATAAAAAAAAACATTAATTTATATTCTTTTGAATAAAAGTTATCAAACAGCGCTGTCCAGCGGACTTTCTTGCAACTGACAAAACAGTACTAAAGCTGTAGCGTAACGCTACATGTTACAAACTATTCAGTTCTCAAACCAAACTTGGAATGTTAGGTTTGCAATTGTTTAGTTTGCAAATCAAAAAACTCTGTTAAATAATTGTTAATTAATTAATAAAATTAAAATTTTCATGTTTATTATTACATTTATGAAGACAATTTATTATTAGATTGATGCGGGTGATGATATTAAAGAAGAATTTGGATGGAAACTAGTCCATGGTGATGTATTCAGACCCCCAAGACGTGGAATGTTATTATCTGTTTTTGTGGGTTCAGGTGTACAAGTACTCTGTATGACTGTTGTAACTTTGGGTAAAATCAACCTTGTACTTTAAGAAATTAGTATAAATTATAATTATACATATTTGTTTTTAGCATTTGCATGTTTGGGATTTTTGTCACCTGCCAATAGAGGATCATTGATGACATGCTCATTAGTATTGTATGTTTTCCTTGGAACACCAGCTGGATATGTATCGTCAAGAATTTATAAAAGTTTTGGTGGTGAAAAATGGAAGACGAATATCATATTAACTTCTATGTTTTGTCCGGGGTAATTTAATTAGATAGAATTTTATGAAGTTATAATTATAATTGAAATTTTTTACAGAGTCGTATTCTGTTTATTTTTTATTATGAACTTGGTTTTATGGGCCAAAGTAAGCTCAGCTGCAATTCCTTTCACCACATTATTAGCTTTATTAGTATTGTGGTTTTGTGTTTCTGTACCTTTAACATTTGTTGGTGCTCTCTTTGGATTCCGTAAAAGGGTGAGTCTTATTTCTAATAATTATTTAATCAGTAGTCTTATGAAAATATTTATCTATCAGCCAATAGAACATCCAGTAAGAACTAATCAAATTCCTCGCCAAATACCAGAACAAACAATTTATACCCAACCATTTCCAGGAATTATTATGGGTGGTGTTTTACCTTTTGGTTGTATATTTATACAATTATATTTCATATTGAATTCTTTATGGTGAGTTATTAAAAATATAAAAAATTTAAGTAATTTATTAATTTTTAGAAATTTTAAAATATTATGTATGATTATTAATAGTATATTATACTATTAAATCTTAATAGTGTACTATTAAGTATTATAGTATTATTAAATTTTATAGTATGTAATTAAAATAAAAATCGGGACGTGAAATCTTTAAAAAAAAAAAGATTTAATTGGTTTTGCTAAAAATTTAAATTTTACTTTTAATTGGTAACCGGTATGGGTAATAAAAGGTTAAATATTTAAACTGGTTATTCATTTTTTTGGTTGCAAATAATTGATAAAAAAAAACAGTTAATAATAAAATAAATTATTTAGTACTTCATTTCACACTCAAAAAAAAATGAAGGGAGACTATTTGTAATACAATTTTTACTACTCCACCTACTCAAAGTGTATATTTAATTCATAATTATTTTTTTTGTGAGGAGTTTATACAAAATTACTTCTGTTCAATAATATTTTTTTAACCAACTCTATAAGAAATTAATAGATATGGCATATTAAAAAAAATATATATTTAAACATATAAAATAAAGAATGAAAAATATTAAATGTACACTAAAAAAATTGTCATATTATATACAGACTAATAAATGCTTAATATTCACTTGTAGGTCAAATCAAATATATTACATGTTCGGATTCTTATTCCTTGTTTTTATCATTCTTATTATAACATGTTCAGAGACTACTGTATTATTATGTTACTTTCATTTATGTGCTGAAGTGAGTTACTTGTTGTCTTATATCATAATTAATTATAAATAAATAATGTAACTTTTTATATAATTTATTTAACACAGGATTATCACTGGTGGTGGAGAAGTTTTTTGACCAGCGCTTTCACATCATTTTATTTGTTCCTATATTGTGTACATTATTTTAAAACCAGGCTCAATATAGAAGGGATTGCTTCAACATTTTTATACTTTGGATACACAATGATAATGGTGTTCCTGTTCTTTTTAATGACTGGTAAGATGGTAATTTAAAAAAATGTTTAATAAGTTGAAATCAAACAACTTTTATAATAAATATGAATTTTAATGTAAATTTAAATTTAAATGTTTGCATTTATTTTTAATTAATTTAATTATTAAATGAATATCTAATGAAGAGTTGATTGAAGTTGTTAATTTTACTTTAAGTTTCATTGTTTTAATATTTTATTTGAATTGATGAATTTGATTATTTGAATAATAAAAGTAAAAGTTTATAGTGACAAATATAAAAATAATAACATAGCAAAACCAATAAAAATTACTTACAATTCATGTTACTTAATATTTTGAATATCGGGTGTATCTTTTTAAAATAATATAAATTACAAATTGTTGTAATTAAAATGACGACATGTAATATGTGTTAAAAAAATTGATATACATAAAATGTTTTCGTTTAAAACATTAATTTTTTTTTCAGGTACTATTGGGTTCTTTTCTACATTTTGGTTTGTAAGAAAAATATATAGTGTTGTTAAAGTTGATTGAATATGTGTTTGTTCAGCCAAAATGTGTAATTTTTTGTATTATATAAATTATATATACAATGTCCATGGAATAAATTTATTTATATTATTTTGTATTAAATCTTCATTGTGTAATTCAACCATTAAATATGTTGATTGCTTGAAATTGTTTGCAAAATAGATGCCCCCAGAGAAGAGAATTTTTTTTTTGTATCTGTAAAATTTTTAATTTTTATTTCTATTATGGTAATTTTTTTAATTTTTACATGTACTTATTAAATTAATTAAAAAAATATGCAATAAATTTAAAAACTGATATTTGGTTATCTAATTCAAAGTTTTCTGAATTTGCGATTATTTAAATTTTGACTATGTCTAATAAAATAAATTACTTTACTAGTATTATTATAAGATTAATAGTTACTGTCTATATATTTTGTTTATATAGAAAAATTCAGAATTAGTATTTATGTAATCGTTTTTTCCAGCACATTTTATACTGAAAAATGATTTGCTAAATTAAAATGTTTAATCCAAGGAATTGACTAACATTGTTAACTAGAATGAAAAAACATTTACTTAAAAATATGTAAATAATAAATTATAATATTCTATTATTTATTAAAAAATTTAAATTATTTTATTTGTTATTACTTGAGTCATGCATGATGTATTTAAATAGTAATATTATGTGAAATAAATTGACTAATTTACTAAATAATGTGCAATTAAAAATTAAATTTATTAGTGTAATATTATTAATTATACTTATTTTTGATTAAAACAACATTTTATATGCATTAAAAATTCTCGGTAAATACTTCAAATTTGAATTAACCTTATTTTTTTTTATTTATAATAAAAATCATTTTTTGATTAATTAAAAAAATTTAAATAATAGTGTTGAATTAATCATACTAATTTTTATTGTGTTAATTTGAGTTGTTGTTTCCATATCTTTCTATGATTTTTTTTGTCTATTGTTGGTTTTAAGTCAATTAATGTATCATTCATATTTTTTAATGTGAAACACTATTTGTAAATCTCGACTGCTTTTATTGTGTAATGAGTTTGAATGGGGGTCATTAATTAATATTATTTTACTAAAATTTTTGTAAATGAGTTACATTAATTTAATTACAAACGATAAGTTTGTAATTAATGTAATTGTAAATTACATCAATAATTAATTTTACATTTGTAATGTAATTTGTAAATTTATAATGAGCAATTAGCAATAATTCAGAGTCACAACAATAAAATATTGAAATGAAAAATTATTAAAAAAAACTTAATGTTAAGTAATTTTTTTAACAATACTTAAACATGATCTCATTGTTGATCCAATAAAACTTCCGAATATTTTATTATTATTTTTTTAACGTTACTCAGCAGTACTTGCATAGTAGACAGTATTAAGTTGTCAAAAATACACAAACCATTCTCAAATAATTTTTCTGTATGGACTAACATTAGTCCGGTCACATTGTTTAATCGAGTGTATATAACCCGTAATGGCGACATTGATTTTTCTCATATCTTTTTTCCCTTTATCTTATTTCACCCTAGTATAATGATGCAGAGTACAAACATTCAATTCGTACTACGTGAATATTCCCCCGTGTGTATGTATAAATCATTATTTAGGAGGTTTATTGGGCAATGTATGAAATGACGTATACTGACATCATGTATTACCGACATAATTTTTAAGGATAACCTATCTTAAGTCGGGTAATATAATGGAAATAGTAACAGTTATAGTTTATCATNATAACCTATCTTAAGTCGGGTAATATAATGGAAATAGTAACAATTATAGTTTATCATTGAATTAAAAAGTAATATATGAAAATAAGTATTAACACAATATCGACGGAGATTAGGAAAAAATGTAGAAACTTTTTTTATGTTAAACTAAGAAAGTGGAATAGTTGTTGAAACTAATTCTCCATATGCAAGTCTAGTTATTTTGGTGACGTAAGGTAATAAGCATCGATTATGTGTTGATTATTGGAAGCTCAATATACAGGTTAAGAAACCAAATTTTCTTTTACCAAGCATGTTAGAGCAAGTGGAAGCTTTGGCTGGTAGTAAACTTTTTGCTCAGTTGGATCTGACTACGGGCTACCTTCAGATTCCACTCGCACCTGAAGCACAAGTAAAAATAGCTTTCATGACGCCAGACGAAACTGGAAAATTTACTAGGATATCATTTGAACTGGCTGGTACACCTGGTGAATTTACCCGCCTCATGAAGAAAGTGGTTGAAAATCTGAGAAATGGTGTGGTTAAAAATTATCTTGACGATTGGGTTATTGATGCACAAGATTAGGAAGACATGCTGAGAAAACTAGAAGTTGTTCTAGAGCGATTAAATGAGGTAAATCTTATGTTGAAACCTCCAAAGTGTTCATTTGGTGTAAAAGAAATTGAACCCAACCTCTGATTCCGTCATTGGAGGTGGTAGCATTTGACCAGGAGAGAGTAAAACTCGGGCTATTGAAAAGTTGCCGGCTATGAAGAATATTCTCTCCGTGAGACACTTTCTTGGACTTACTGGATTCTTCAGACGATTTGTAGCAAATTACGCTACGATCGTAGAGCCTTTAACAAGGTTAACCAAGAAAGGTATTGAATTTACGAGGGGAAGAGAATAAGAAGATGCTTTTAACTTATTGAAGGAGAAGTAAACAAGGCCCCCATTTTTGAGGATGTTCAATCCAAAGACTACAACAACTGAAGTGCATACTGGTGCCAGCTCTATAGGGATTGGTGCGATGCTCTTACAGAGTGATGAAGTGGGAGGGCCATTGAACTTAATGCATTATCTGAGTAAGAAGCTGACAGAGGCTGAAGCGAGGTATCAATTGAGCAAGTTGGAATTACTTAGTGTAGTTCATGCTGTAACTAAGTGGAGAAATTATTTGTTGGGTATCAAGTTGGTAATTTTTACTGATTGTCAGGTTTTGATTTTTTTAAGACTCATATATCCAAGTCACAAATTTCCAGATAAAGTGATTTACTCCAGGAGTATGATTTTGACCTGAGGTACAATGCAGGTTCAAGAATGACCCATTTGGATGCGTTATCAAGGGATTCAGTTGGTAAATTAGCAGATTTGGCACTTGCCGCAGAACTTGAGAGTGCCTTATGTGAGTATGGTGGAGTCTATGTAACTTTGTTGGTGAAGGAACGGGTACTCATGTGTCAAACTGCCGATGAGGAGCTACAACAGCTTATAAAGATTCTCAAAATGGACATGAAAGAGCGTACTAAGAATGAAAATAGCCGAGTACGTTATTTTAAATTAATTAACAATCTCTTGTACAGATAATACCAAGGAAAGGAACTGTAACGCCAAAAAGTATGCGGAAGAGTCTGGTGATGACTATACATAACTTGAATCGATATCAGTCAGTGGATAAAACTATATCTAACTTGGTGCAAGATTTTTAGTTCGTCGTGATGAAACGATATATTTGACAACACATCAGGATGTGTTTTAAGTGCTTATTAGCCAGAGGACGATAGCCAGGGCATTTACATCCAATACTGCCAGGTAGCAGGCCATTCGAAATTGTATATAGTGATCATCTGGAACCTTTTATAACTACTCCTACAGGACATAAATATGTTTTTGTTTTAGTGGATAACTTAACTAAATTTGTATTGTTGTTCACATGTCCAGATACATCGACGGAAGAGGTGTTGTCATGTGTGCAAACTTTTGTAAAGGGATATAGATATCCAAAAGGCTGGTGACAAATTGAGGACCATGTTTTACTGCCAAAGCATTTGAAGAGTATTGTGTCACTGAAGGGATTTGTAATGTACTTACATCAACTAGGAGGCCACAGGCAAATGGACAAGTGGAGAGAGTTAATGGTATAATCCTATCTATGCTTATGAGTATTAAGTGGATAATGCTGAAACTTGGAACGAATAGATTCCAGAGGCGCAAAGACAGATCAATACTTGATTTGATCTATCTGAGAGCTAACAATTTGTTTAATTAACATCGTATAGCGTAGAAAAAAGTAACGTATTTTTTATGTTGAATTGTTTTACATACTGTTCGTATGCGTATATCATAATGTAGAATTTTTTATAATTAGTCGGAACAACTAATAAAAAAGTTTATTATTAACTATTAAAAACTGACGTAAAAAATTAACAATAATTTTTTTATTACAAAACAATAACTACTCAACAGTAATGTTGCCGATAAATTAGCGGAGAAACAAATTACTGTTGATTTCGCATCGTTACCTGTGGTACATCTGTCCGCGTGCGGTAAACACGGACAGATATCGGCGGGCGAGTCGTTCACTTGAACGAAGCGAACGTCAGCGCGCACGTAAAGTTGGATTTAATTTTTTTCGAATCGTCAAAATTATTAATTATAAAAGTCCATTGAACAATGACGGGATAATATATTTAATTGTTATAAAATAATAATGATTATGAACAACAGTACATGTTTAGTAATATTTGTGTCTTTTTGATTTTTTTTTTTTTGTTAGTATTGATTTAATATTTTAAATATAAGTTTGATTTTAAAACAAAATAAATCGTTTTCTAAGTAGTGTTGTGTAATAGCATAGTGTACAGGCAGAGATTATAAAACTTTTGTCGTCTAAATATAAATGAATTAATAATTAAAATAGTAAATAGTGCTTAACGCCTGACTGAATTTCGAGAAATATTACGCAAAGCAAACTCAATAAAATTGTAATTACCACTTGTCCCATTTGAATAGTGACAAACAAATGAATATATACAATATATGTATATATAAATCGCAACAAATAACATTAAGAAAAAAACCAAATTTAATAATTTATAATGACAGTTCTAAATGGAATTTAAGAATTTATAAACTCTGGAAAACAAATTAAAAAACTACAAAATATGTAGAAAACATATACCAGAACAATATAATAGATATTATATTCCACACTAAATAGGCAATATAACCATCACGACGACGAACGATATTGTCGCTAATTGAATGTTGGTAATTTTCATATAAAAAAAAAAAAATGACATTGTCGTACCATATCGTTTATATCACCAACCGCCTCGTCATCACCAGCGATGTCAACGATTTCAACATATATGTATTTATTACACACCTTAAAAATTGCGATTGCACAAAACGCGAATTTGAAGATTGTAAATAAATTGGAGACCGGCCAAACCCTGTGAACATATCCAAAAGAGATTAATATTGAACCCCCCCCCCTTCCCCTTAGATCCGGTTAGGGATTACACTTGAAACAATTATGAAACCATCGGATCCCGCGAACGCAATTATTAATATATAAGCTGTGTGGAACTGTTTTACGTCCAACTGAGAGGGTCGGGATTGGCGACAATTACCTGAACATAATTAAAAAATAACAAAATCGAATCCAGAGCAACGATATATATGTAGCGGCTTACGGTGGGCACAGCAGCGCGAAAGAGCAACCTGCGGACTGGGTAGGTACGGTAATCGTCGACATGCCTGGAACTGATTAAAGCGCTCCGCAAGTTTACAGCCGCCGGATCGTAACCGCACGTCGCTACGAACGCCAACCACCTGTTGGCCCTTGCGACATCGCTCGGAAATCTGCGAACGTATAATTAATAAATTTTAATAAGAGTCACCCGCCAGTAAATACACACGTTTTAACAACGGAAATAAACAATTGATACAAACGTCGCGGGTTTTTAATTCAATTAGAATAATGTGAACGTACTAGTGTAGACTGACACCGTCGACCACAATTGCGCTGCACAAATCGCACGCGTGTACCATATTTCAAATTAATAAATTAGTTATTATTAAATATATATATATAAATTAGTTAGCAGTAATTGTATACATTAGAAGAGTAAGAAAAAACAAAAATACACTTTTAAAAAATATCCTTTTTTGTATACTTAATACGCATAAAAATGAAAAATTTGGTTTTTCGATTGATTGTAAACGTCGGATTGAAATGATAACATGGCGGCGATGCAAGAAATGTCGCGGTCCGAGACACGGCCGATAGAAAGTCAGATAGTAGTTCAAAGTTCAACTTACGCATGTGACAAAAAACTTAAGGGGTCAAAAAAATAATGCGAAATGGCGCAAAGGACCGAAATGTAAGTGTGCTCATTATTAGTTTATACTTTGGTACACAATAACTTTTATAATTCACTGTTTCAGGTAGGAGAAACGTCGAAAAAATAGTGCTACGCTAGCCGAAATCCTAAAAAAGTCTACTTTGACTGAATTTTGTTAGTTTTTAATATTGCTATTAGCTGAATATTGTCTTTTCCACAAATAAAAAATTATTGTTTTGTTTAAATCAACAAGGAATATTTATCAAATGCACACAGAGGTAACAAAAAAATGTTACGGTATTTATGTTAAATGGTTGAAGTTGTTATTTAGTTGAGAAGCTATTGGTTTTAAATTGTTGTGTTTTTATCCTGTAAACGTCTTTACTTTCGCTCCTATTGAACTGGTTTTACTTAACGATAAGTCAAAAAATCATGTATCTAATTACTATTAACGAGTATACTGTCAGCACTATAGATTTGAAAAGTTCACCAATAAAACAGTTAATATTTTCTGTTTTCACATTATATTGGAATAACTTTTTTTAAACTGTACGGATTATGAATGTGTTAAAGCTTTCATGGATTGTTTTGTTGCTACAAGTGCTTAAGAAGGATGAATCAATGTTTACATTACAGTTTTGACGTTTCGGACTTATTTACTCTGAAAATGTACTCTGCAATGAGTCCGAAACGTCAAAACTGTACTGTAAACATGGTTACATCCTTATGTACGGGGATTATTGCAAAATTTGTATTGATAATATTTCAAACATTTGCTTTGTTGGCGAAATGTTTTATTTTTATATCCATTCATTAAACAAAGTAATAGGAGAGGGTTTAAAAATCGTATCGTTAATTTTTTCCTTGTTTACAGTGTTTACGGATGTGTCAACGTTTCAGTTATGAGCTGACGTTTCGGATTAGTTACAACCACGAGCCTATAGCTATCGCTCTAAAGAAGGACTCTGTAAAGAGTCCGAAACGTCAGCTCATAACTGAAAACGGGAATACATCCGTAAACATTTCAAGCAATACGATAACCTTCAACACATTCATAAAAAATTTTTCTTTCCATTTTTTGATTATGCTCTGGAAAATCTACCTACATTAAATTAAAGTTAATACAATATACTTTAAGATAAAAAAAGAAAAACTATCCGAAATCATGATTTCTAGAATATATTGTATACCATACAATAGCCAAAAATGATACAACTTACGGTAAAAATGGACGATTTTGAAATGTTTTCATAGTAACGGAACGCTTAAAAAATATAAGACTGTTTAATATAATGTAGGATTAAAAAAGTCAAACATTCAAGTTATTGGTCCTCTATGAGTAATCAGCCCTTCGAGTCAATAATCATAACATTTTTAGTAGACATGTTAATTTTTTTTTTTTTTTTTAATAAGAGTCGAAGCGTTTACGACAATGATTTTGATCACTGTCAAATATTTATAAATACTATCCAAAAAAATGCCACAATTCTAATTTACTGGATTAATATAAAAATTATTAAGTAAACAAGGTTTTCATTTGTTCAATAGAACAACAATTTTAGAAAAGCTAAATTCATTTTTCTCCTATTCAAACAAATATTTTTATAAATCAATAAATATATTATATATTATTTAATGTTATATAAAGAAAATATTTAGGACATATTTTTGGTTTTTTTTTTTTTTTTTAGGGATGAAGGTTATTTTTTCCTTAATTTTATGCCAGCTGTAACTATGCATATGTATACTAGTATTATTAAGTAATGAAAAATATTTTAACTAGTATAGTTCATAAATACGAACGCGAATGGATTTACATTGAAAATATATGGGAAATTTTATATTATTCGATTTATCTACTCGTCGAATTATCATAAATATTTCATTATGCATATCGATTTCACTCTCGCTTATGATAAAGACCCTTATGAATTATAGAATACGTAAAATATACCCATCTGAGCTAAAGTAAGGGGTTTATCGAATACATCACAGTTCATTTAATCTTATAACTATTAAAGAAATTTTCACAACTGTCCTCGTGCATTCAATGTTAATTACACTTGTGTCCGATAGTAGTATCATTACAACAATCTTACAATTAATAGGAAAATTTACCGTCAATTAAGTCTAAGTGTAATGAAACTCTCAAGAAAAACATACATTGAACGAAAAATTAGTGACCTGTACGTTTACACAAATATTAACATTTTGAATTATTTATGTCGTTAATGCAATGGCGTTCTCGGGGTTTTGTCTTGGGATAAGATATATGTATGAAATTTTTTATTGTTTTTTCCAAAACACATTTCCGCAATATTTATTTTCATCGTGGGGATTATATCCCCCGTTCGCCCTCCCCTACCTGTAGAACGCCCGTGTATCAATGACATATATTGATAACATTTCATTTTATTATCTATTTTAGCAAAATTCTCGAAAATATAAATCGTTAGACATTCAATCAAATACTGGTTTTGTTAAGTTAGTGAAGTTATTTATTTATTAATAATAATAAATCTTTAAACAAGTTAGCGACACGTTAGGATCAACGCTTGTAAATATAACAACATTATTATTTACAAACTATTTTTTACTGTTATTATGCGTTTTAAATTTCATGATATACATGTATATTATGTAATTTATGGTTAATATTAATAACGAAACGGGTTTCTATTGTTTTCATTGTATTTACTACTGACCTGTTTCCTTACTTACCGAATACTGTATATTCCATGTTAAATACTAAAAATAGTGATAGTCTAACTATCCTACAAGCAACAGGATTACAGAAATTGTAATGGCAAGCTCCTTTTAGACTCCTAATACGGGTGACCTAATTTGTTTCTCCGGAGCATTTGGTAGAAATTATATATAATAGCATCTATATGAGTTTTAGAAAAAATGATAATTTATAGTTTTTTAGAGACATACGCGGCATTTAGTTTTGCATCAATTCATATTTACAAAATATCGCGAAAATATTTCTTTCGATTATGTATACTCACAATATACAACTAAAATACAACTAAGTATTAATATTTTAAGGCTATGGTCTTATCATTCAATATTTATAAACACTGGATTACTGCGTGTTTGACGGCACTTTTTTGGGTGGTCATCAAGAACTGTCTCGATATTATAATTATACAGTAGGATATATATATACAGTATAGACTGTATAGTCTCTCGAGGCTAAAAAATACAAGCAGAGGTTTTAGAAAAAATATTTTATTAAATCAAAAACCAAATAATTGAACTGAGTTAGTTGATATTTATCCTATTGTTTAGTATACAAATAACTTTTGGTGAACTGGCAATTTTGATAGCACAGCACAGCTGCTGTCCCATATATCATCGGATCATCGAGATTCACCTGTAATAGTAAATTTTACTTAAATATCTGGTTTGTGAAAATTGCTGTAAATTTTGAACTACGACTCAGTAAAAAACGACTTGAAAATATATAAAGTATATACAGTGTATTGAGGGGAGATGGTTAAAGCCACGTGCGTAGGCAAGATATTCGGTCGCATTATACTGGTTTGCTCAAGGGAACGTTTTAAATTTTTTTATTTTAAAGTACCTCTCCCCCATGCAACAACCCTTGCCTGGTATACTAGTACACGCATGTAAGTCGTCCCTCTTTGACTAGAAGAGGGAAAATATTACACCCGTGTCCGCACCCTCTGGATTTTAATACCCGTGTTCAGAGTCCATCAATTCCAGAAACCATATTGCAGCCTCATGATTTCATTACCACCATAATAATATAATCCCTATTACTGTCTTCTTTTCCCTATCAGTAGCACCGACGTTTGTTTTTATTTCGCCTGGTCGATCCCCACAAAGTATAAATGCACAAAATTATACAATATATTATTACTATACGCCTTCATAACATTTCCTCGCGTTTGATTTTTAAATTAAATAACCGTTAACACATTTGACGTCCCTAAAACCACTACCCAAAAGGGTAATGTTTTGCATACTATAAACTGATAATAATAATATTGCCGGTGCGGCTTTATTCAAAAGGGACACTAATATTTTTTAATCCGATTAGATAACGATCCCGTATTGGCTAGATAAACTAACAACTTTGTGTATTCCAATAAAACTTTAAAGCTCCTCGCAACTATAATATTGGAATAGTATTTGATTAAAATTCAATTTCAATAGTAAATAGACAATTTTATAAATCAAATATTTTATTTTATTTTAATGAAGGTGCAAAGTTTAATATATGTAGTAATCTATATTTAAAAAACATTAAAAATTGTTAAAAATATTCATGTGTTCTTAATATTATATGTTATATAGAAATATCATAGTAAAAATGTATATTTTATTGTTATACTACTAACGAGATTTTAGCAAAATTTTAGGGACGACTTATTTAATTTTTGCTCTCCTTACAAAAAAAATGTTTACATGAAAATACATGCTAAGTTCATAATTTTTTAAAAGCTAACTGCCCTTTTGGCCACCTCAGATTGTGCCAATATATAACACTTAAGGCTGGAATTACATATCTGTCTTAATGAGTTCATTTTCAATGAACTTAAAAATGTTTTATCACAGTTAGATCACTAACTCGACTGTGATGAAATTTTGGTAAGTTTTTATGCTTATGCCAATAGAAAACGTTGAATAAAGATATTAAATATCCTTTAATACTCTTTTTAAGTACAAATAACTATTTTTCTGGTTATATTTTAGTGTACAATACTATCACTTACAATTAAAAAATGACATTTTTATATATTACTACATGAAGTTAATACAATTACTATGTGTGCTTGTCTTAATGTAACCTTGTTTATTGTATATGTAAGTTTAAGTCTAAAAAAATAAAGGACAGTAGGGTACAGCGTAGTGGAATGAAGGAATTGTTTCAGACTAGAATTGATTGATATCTACAGATATTAAAATCACTGTTTAAATCGCTTTGATGCATATTTGAAAACAATTTAACATATCCACTAAAAATCACATGATTATCGACTTCAGAGACCATTTATTTATTGTATACAAATAGGAACATTTCGTTTTTTTTAATCAAGCAGTGACGAAATGCTATGAAAAAAAAATTTTACTTAAGATATCGATAGTTTCAACTAGATTCGTTTTTTGATCTTTTGACTTATCGTTAAATAAAATCAATAGCTTTTCAGTTACCCATAGAAGCTAAATAAAATATTAGACGTAACGACAAAAAGTCATGCAACAATTTTTTTTCTGAATATGATATTTTAAAAAATATTACGAGCAATAAAAGATTACAACATGTAAATTGCTTTTATTCTACCGCTTAAAAAAATGACTGAATACTCGCTCACGAATAAATATTCTAATATACTAAATAATCAGCAAGTCAAATAATTAACAAATTAACCAGTGATCATTTAACAAAACATAGTAATTTTTCGTGTATAGAATAATAATGTACAGAAAAAGCCTTTGTTTGCTCGAAAATATACTAGAGAAGTTCATTTTAACAGATAACAATTCAACTAGTT